TTTTCAGTGTTTGAGTTTTGCTCCAAGTAAGTACAACTGCAAATTAATCTTTGGGCCTCAAGAGATGAATTAGGTGTCATTCAGCAGAAAATTACCAGCACAGGACAAACGGAACAAAATGAGAAAGTTCAGAGCGCTCTAAAAAATATTTAAGAATAGAAATGTGAAAATTGACATGATTTACCGGGAGACAAATTTCTGGTTTACAATACAATACAGCATGATACAATTATATGCAATCAGCACAATCCAGTGCAATACAATAAGATAAGATACAACACAATACGACGCAATACGATACAATACAATATATCATAATACCAATATGCCCGTTTCGGGAAATTAATTTTTTGTGTTGGAGAAATTGCACAGTTATTGTTATAAGAAATACACGAATATCTACTGTGTGTAAAGATAAAATAGGGAAAAAAAACATTTTAATTGAAAACATTTGGAGCTTTAGTGTTTTGCAGAAACATTCCTGATTCGGTTATAGCACTTTATGTAATCATTTATACGTTCATTTGTGGAGACAGAAAGTCATCGTGGAAAACAATCTGATGGCTCAGGGTGGATGTTGGCTCTAGCAGAGTCTGTCTGCGCAGCAAAAATCATCTGTAAAATATGAAGCCTCCCTTCCAGTTGGGTGCAGATGACAAAAACTAAAGTCCTAATGATAAAGCCAACTGAGAACAAAACTGTTCAGACAGTTTGTGGTTTGGTTTAACAAGTGTCTTTCTTCTACTTTAGAGCACAAGAGATACAGATTACAGGATGAGGAATGAAACCAGACTGAAACTGTTCACTCTGGACCCAGACACTCAGGTAATCCAAGTAGGAAGTCCACTTTTTTCAGCCTCAACGTTTTGCAGACGAAATGATAAACCTTTCTATGTGCTGTTTGTAGAAACTTGACTTCTCAGGAATAGAGCCAGACGTGAAGCAGTTTGAGGAGAAGTTTGGCAAGCGGGTGCTGGTGAACTGCAACGACCTCTCGTTTAACCTGCAAAGCTGCGTCGCAGAAAACGAGGAGGGGCCGACGACGAATGTAAGGATGACGTTTCGGGCTCTAACTAACAGATATCATTGCCCGCCTGAGTGAATGTGAATGAGGTGGTTTGTTACAATGACCGGATGGACTCCTGTTGACATAGCAACCAGACTACTGGCTCGGGAAGAGTAAACAGCCTGTGTAATGAAATCTAATGTCCTGCTGTCCCTCCCAACAATAAATGTCAATTAAATACTCCACATATTCTTCTTCTAAGATTACAGATGTACAGAATGGACACCTAGAGTCACAGAAATGTTGCCGTTTTTCCTTTCCCGATCTTTAATTTTAAACATTCAGCTGATTTGAAACCAGTTCTGTGTGTATTTCTGTTTTCAAATCCAATTCGTGTCAAAGAGCATGTTTGTCTTTGTGTTAGAAATAGTTGCAGTAAAGGTACGCATCACTATCCCTGGTCTAATTCTGAGTCTTTTTTTGTTTTCCAGGTGGAGCCATTCTATGTGACCCTGTCTCTGTTTGACATCCAGAACGGTAGAAAAATCTCCTCCGACTTCCACGTTGACTTGAACCACCCATCTGTGAGGGGCATGGTGCCCAGTAACACCAGTCAGTATATGAACGGAGGGGCTGACGCCCGTCCCGAGGGACAGCGGTTTATCCACGGAATATCAGAAGCTGCTTTGCAGTATCCCCGACAGGTGAAAATCCTATTCAAAGTAGCAGCACTACCAAAGAAAATGGCTCTTCCTAGTTATATCTAACATTTTGATTCTCTCAGGGAGTGTTCTCAGTAACATGCCCTCATCCAGATATCTTCCTGGTGGCTCGCATCGACAAGGTGCTTCAGGGGGGGATCACCCACTGCGCTGAACCTTACATGAAGAGTTCAGACTCCACCAAGGTACAGAACCATCCGCAGACCGATCAACACAAGCGTTGACTTTGGCTGCACCCATTGCTCTCTGATGGGTCCATGGTGGCTTATGATTATTATCACTAGGTGTACTTGTATTGAGTTTGGCAGCACTCTGAGTACTTTCTCAGCACAATAACAAGCCTCGGTCTCTGTGTGTGTGTTTAGATTCACAATGTTTCTGTTTTCCACTAGATGGCACAGAAGGTCCTGAAAAATGCCAAGCTGGCATGCAGTCGACTGGGCCAGTACAGGATGCCTTTTGCCTGGGCAGCGAGGTACTTCACCTCCTTCAACTGTAACTGGATGTCCTCTCTGTTTGTTGCCAGATTTCACTTCAGTTTTTGACTAAAGTTATTAACTTTCAGACATTTTCAAAGCACAAACAAACATGCAAGCAGTTAAAGTATGGCTCAGTCATTCTGAAAAAGTATTTAGGACATTCTCAAAAGTACAACTTAATTTTTAAATAGTTATATTGTAGTGAAGTATATTATTAAAATAATATAAAATAAAGCTAGCATTCCTTAAGAAATACAAATTACCCACTACCTTGCGAGCCAAAGTTACAAAAAAGTCTCACATGACCTTCATCCAAAGGACTTCATCAGTCTGAGGAGCCACAACAAGCTCAGTCCCACAAGCAGCACACTCACATAGCGGGGCAATCAGTTTGCTGGTGTTAAGATGGTTTCTGGGGACCGCCCTCTTCCCCGTCAACTCCTGAGGTAGCCATAGCCAAAGTGGTTCAAAACATCAAAGTTCATGCTCAATAATCCAGGTAGAAAATCCAACAAAGTTCAGTCAGGTCATCTGGACTTTTTTTGTAGATGTTTCAGAGGAGTTGACATGAGAGAGGCCGGGCCCATGAACCACCTTATCATCAGCAAACTGGTTGGTCCACTATGTGAGTGCGCTGCTTGTGGAAATTGGTTTGTTGTGGCTCCACGGACTGATGAAGTCCTTTGGATGAAGGATGAAACGTCTCAAAAAAAAAAAAAAAAAGAAAGAAACCATCCAGATAATCTGACTTAACTTTGGTGGATCTCACGTGATCTGTTAGTGCTCAGAGTATGAGTTGAGGATGACTTCCATCCACTACCACACCACATTTTATTCCCATGTCTGTCAAACTGACTGAGTTACAGACATAATTGCATTTGCTGAGGTCAATTGGCTGATGCAGCCATCTTGATTTGTCTCCAAAAGGTAATCAGTTGTAGATGTACCGGTACATCAAGTGATTAGTTTGTGGGAGTTTCATTAAAGTCCATCAAGTGGTTCGGTCATGGAAGGAGGATTTGAAGCCAGACATGCAGGCTCAATACGAGGAGCTCAAAGAAATGAGTAAAACTTTTCACAAAAACAAAATCTGGCAAGTTAGCAAACTTGCTCAGCACGGACACAGGGAGGCACGGAGAATCATAAAAAATATGAGCTCAGATATGGCAAATTCAATGCATCATGCTCCACAGGTTTTCTAGACTGATACAGAGGGTTATATAGGCTGAGGTAAACGAGGACTTGAGCTTAATGAGACAGGGAACAGGTGTGAGAGGGCGTGGCAGGACTGAAGGACAAGTACTGGGAAAAACTGAACTGATGGGATGTGGAAACTCAGAGGAACAGAACACAGAAAATAAACCAAAAAAGGGTCGACCCAACCTTAAACACAAAACAGCTGCTGACAAACAATTACAGACACAGGAATTGCCCACTTTTCATAGTGGTGGGTGGCAATAAAACTAGTTTATTTACTTTATGTTTCAAAATTAGGAGATAGCAGTATTCTGCTATTCTGTATAGTTTGTGTAATCTTATAAACGTATTATATTCCTGGAATATATTCAACATGTCCTTTTTTACAGTTCATTTTCCACCTAAATCCCAAAGCCCCAAAACAAATACCGGCCTCACTTTAAGAAGCTGTTTGGTTAAACTTCTAAACTTCAATCTTACCTAAACAAATTGAATAACATGTTTATTTCAATCAAAGAAGAGTCATTTTATATCAATTTAACTTGTATATTTTTGTGTTCAGCTGTTTATGGGGTGAAAAATTGTGATGAGCTTTTGTAGCTGATATTTAAATATTTTAGACATAATAAAATAGTATTTCTTGTCCATAAAACAATGTAATAAACTAGACGTTTGGTTTTACTGAAAGGAATGTACAGTGCAGTGTTTGCAGGTCAACACTAATTGGACACTTTTGCTTTTTTTTTGTGCAGATCTTTGTTCAAAGACGCTTCAGGGACTCTTGACAAAAGTGCACGTTTCTCAGCTCTGTACAGGCAGGACAGCAACAAGCTGTCCAATGACGACATGCTCAAACTGCTGGCTGATTTCAGAAAGTTAGTAACGTCCCTTTCTGCTGTTTAACCACCGAGGAGTCTTTCACAATGAAAAACATCTGCCTAATCGAAAAATACAAACATCTGTTAACACATTCTTATACTCTTTGTCTTGTTCCTCATTAAAGCCTGTTTCTAATTTAGTTTTTTGTTATATTAAGTTTGTTTCTCTTTTTCTCAGACCGGAGAAGATGGCCAAGCTGCCTGTAATTTTAGGAAACCTTGACGTCACCATCGACAGTGTTGCACCTGACTTGACAAGTGAGTCCTCTCGGATCCCTGCACGAGTCCAGCAGACGAGCTGAAGCTGCTCCTCCGCAGAGCAGGCCGCTCACGTCATCTTCTGATTGTTTATATGGTCTCCTCTCCTGTTTCTTCGAGCAGATTGTGTTACCTCATCCTACATTCCTGTGAAGCAGTTTGATGTGAGCGAACGGAGCAACGTCTTTTTTGAAGTGGAGGAGTTCGTGCCGTGCATCGCCAAATGCTCTCAGCCTTTCACCATCTACAACAATCACCTCTACGTTTACCCGAAGCACTTGAAATACGACAACCAGAAGTCGTTTGCAAAGGTAGCGCCACCGTTTATCACATCGATGTTATTTTACGGGTTCACTGACGCACCTTTTACACAGTCTCGTTTCTTTTTGTCCTCAGGCGAGAAACATTGCCGTCTGCATCGAGTTCAGGGACTCGGATGATGAAGACGCTGTTTCACTGAAGGTAAATGTGTGTTCATAGTGTCCAGAACACCTACAGAGGTTATTCTTACTAGGCCTGTCACAATAACAAATTTTGCTGGTTTAATTAATTGTCTAAGATATTATTGCGATAAATTATAATATTTGAAATTTAACAATAATTAGTAATCATTGTTCAATTTAAGAAGAAATGTTGGTTAACTTGTTTTGAATGTAATGCCTTTCTTTTACCACCAGATGGCAGTATAAGATTGAATGGAAGGATGGATAGTGAGGGATCAAGCTTTCTTTAAGAAAAATGGGAGGCAGGCCCCTTGACGTGACATGGGCTGTCTCTCCTTCCTTTTTTCGTTTCTCAAAATGGCAAACACTCGGTGTGGTTTGAGCTTTTTAGCATAGCATTTTTAACACCAAGCTTTCAGTAAATAAAAAAAAATCAGTAAACAAGTTCTCAGCTTCTTTTTGCAGAGTAAAACAACTTTTTACATTCAGGCACAGGTTTCAACTGTGAATTTTGGAGCTTCGACAAGACGGAGGTTTTTTCCCTGAGGTTGGCCTGTTAGCTTAGCTCGTAGCATAGCTTCTCAGCTTAGCTGCTTTTAACAATCCAAAAACGCCATTTTGGACAATTGAAATAGATGTTAAAAGGAAAGGAGAAAAGGAGGGGTCAGTGAAGAGCACCGGAGTTGAGTCTTTTGTCATCCAGTGTCTTCAGTAGAAAGAGAGAGACACGAAGAAACGATAAAGCTGATAAATGAAAATGAGGTTGATAATTTTCATTTATCATGCGATTAATTGATTTATTGTTTATCGTGGCGGGCCTAATTCTTATCAGTTAAAGCATCTGAAAAGCTGTTTTTTGTAATTCCTCAGTGCATCTATGGGCGACCGGGGGGACCCTTGTTTACCAAAAATGCCTTTACATCAGTATTACATCACCAGCACAACCCCGAATTCTACGATGAAGTAAGACACTTGTCCTTTATTCTTAATAATGCTCATTCCCACCATCTATTTTATCATTATTCATAAATGATAATGAGTTTTTCCAACTTTTGCGTCATGGTTTAGTTTAAGATTGAGCTGCCAACTCAGCTCCATGAGAAACATCACCTGCTCTTCACCTTCTACCATGTGAGCTGTGAGAGCAACAGCAAGGCCAGCACCAAAAAGAGAGACGTGGTAGAGATGCAAGGTAAAACACGACGTTTCCCCATCAAGTCTCAGTATGTTATTGGTTTTATTAGTAGCATGAAGCCCAAGGACTGACTCTTCCTTTGCGTCTGCTCTCAGTGGGTTACGCCTGGCTCCCCTTGCTGAAGGATGGCCGAGTGGTCATGAATGAGAGTCACATCTCTGTGGCTGCAAACCTGCCTGCTGGATACCTGAGCTGTCAGGAGGGAGCCAGCAAGGTAGAGAGATCCTCATGCTGTTTAATGATGATAGTTTGGCTTCTTCTTTATATAATTCAAGTTTTATTTTAGCAGTGCAAGATACTGTGTCCAGACTGCTTGTTAGGCCAGTAATGTGAAAACTGTGATTTTACAATAAGACTGGCTTTATAATGGATTATTAAATCTGTAATAATACTATTTTTACCTAAGCTGTAAACGCTTTACTAACCAATAATCCATGCTTAAAGTAAATGAACTAACAATGGCAATTGTAACTAACTTTTGCCTTCCATTATCTACTCTTGTCTTACTTTTTTTATTACTCTACTTTAAATGTTTGATTTTTGGCATTGAATGTTTATAAAAAAAAGATTTTCAATTAGTAAAACAAGCCAAGTGACAAAGAATACAAATAGTTGAGCAGCAATGCATGTGTTAGATTTGCCTGAATTAAAAAATATAAAATAAATAAAAAAAATATATACACAAGAGCATAAAAGCACAATATTAAAACAAGAAAAATTGCATTATTTTGTGAAACAGTTGAAATTTTTAAGGAATAAATTATTTACTGACTTGTTAAAGTTAAAACAATCAGAACAGAAGATTAAATGAGCGAAACAGCTGAAAGCAAAATGTTGCAAAGCCATAGCTAAAATGAACAAAACTGTAGCTAAAAGCTGGATTTAGCAAGATGTTAGACAAAAACTAAAAAGAGCTTTTGAGAAGACAAATAGATCAAAGTCAGTTTCAGAGAACATTATTAAAAGAATTGAAGAGATCTCAAAGTAATTTTATAGAAAAAAATGTGAAAAATATTCAAAATATTTAAATAAAATACAAATACTTAAAGTTATAGCACACTATTTATGATCAAGCTTAATGATGATTATATGACTGGTTAGAATAGCATTATTAAAACCCTAACAGTATCCTCAATAACAGAAAAATAGAAAATTTGTAAAGACACAGTAAAATAAATAAATTGTTTCAATTAATTACTTTGTTAAGAACCAGAAAAAGACCCACAAGCATAAATAAAACGCTGGCAGGTGGTGACAGAGGTTACTTCAACTTTTACGTTTTTTAACAGCTTTCATTAATCTAAGTATTCTGATCCTGGATCCTGTGGGTCATTAGGATTTTATAGTGATCTGATAAAACTCAGTCTTCTGCTGTTTGTGCTGTTACAGCATTTGGGTCCGGAGGTCAAATGGGTCGATGGAGGAAAGCCATTATTCAAAGTGTCCACTCATCTCGTGTCCACTGTGTACACTCAGGTGGGTCCAAGTATTACCTGCATCATATTGTTCCTGAAATGTTCCTCTTTGCAGCATGAAACCAAATTCTGTGTCTCACCTTTTTTTTTTGTTTGTTTTTAAGGATCAACATTTGCACAACTTCTTTCTTCACTGTCAGAGCGTTGCATCAGCAGCTCAAGTGTCAGGAGGAGAACTGGTCAAATTCCTGAAAGTAAATCAGCAAGTTAACTTCCATCTTAACTTTAAGTTTTCGATTTTGTTTAAATGTTCATAAATTCCTCACATAACGACAGTTAAATCAGTTTAAGACACAACATTTGACTGAAGTGTTACAAAGTGCTTTAATTCAGCAGAACACTCGTTCAGGTTCACAGCATCAACCCAACCAAGATGCAAGAACATCAAACTAACTACAAAAATGAAAACTTTTTTATGATAGCACACAGTCTAGACATTGTTAAAAGATTGTTTTTGTTTTTTTCTGATGCAGTGTGCTCACCACAGAACTTCCTACTGTCTTGCATGTTAAACTAATTTAGTAGAAATGGACAAAATACACTTTAAACGCTACATTAAGTCATATCTACACCAGTCTTGGCACACAGTTTCAATTTCAGTTTTTTTTTAATGTAACACAAGTTTTGCCTTGATGCGGAAAATGATTTTAGAATTGAAGTTTGGGTACAATCACATCTGCAAAGTAGAAAGGTGTGGCATAAATTAACACATAATCGCTCTGTTCTACCTCTCTAGCTCAGATGTGCCATGAAATTACAAACTGTTGAGCCAGTTTTTGCTCAAACAGTTTGAATGATACTTTATCTGATTTGTAACTTGCCAGCACAGTCTGCCTAATAGTTTGTGCAAAACATTACTTTTTTTTTTATAAAGCAGTGTTAGGTATTTTGGGTTTAATGTAATCACAGCAGTGAAGGCTCAAACAGGTCAGCTGTGGTTGATGGCAGCTCTCCAAATTACTTATTTTCATTCAACCGTTATTTATACAGGTCAGTCTAGTTGAGACTCGAGGACTCATTTACAAGAGAGACCTGATTTTAACAAACATACCATACCATACCAATTTATTTATAGAGCACTTAAAACAGCAACAAGGCCAACCAAAGTGCTGTACAAAAGAAAACAAACATGCACAGCGGACAGGAAAACATAAAATAGAAATACAGATACAAATAGCAGCAGAAGCTAACTAAAATGGCCAACAGAGTAGAGAACAGACTGGACCAAAACAAATCACAACGTGGTAAAGGCAAGAGAATAGAAGTGGGTCTTCAAGCGAGACTTAAAGACTGAGAGTATGGGAGCCTGCCGGACACTCAGTGGCAGCTCATTCCACAGTCGTGGACCTGCAACAGAGAAAGCCCTGTCACCTCTGAGCTTACGACGGGTTTCTGGGACTGAGAGAAGCATCTGGTCTGCTGACCTCAGAGAGCGCGGTGGGACATATGGCTGCAGAAGATCAGTGAGATAGGATGGGGCGGAACTGTTCAGTGATTTAAAAACATGCATGAGAATTTTGAATTGGATCCGAAGGTGAATGGGTAGCCAGTGCAGGGAGGCCAAAACTGGCGTGATGTGCTCTCTATAGCCTGTACCATTTAAAAATCGGGCTGCAGCATTTTGGACCAGTTGTAGACAAGCAATGGAGGACTGACTGATTCCAAACAGAAGTGAATTGCAGTAATCAAGCCTAGATGTTATGAAGGCATGGATCACTGTCTTGATTGATGACAACAGTGGACAACAAAGGCAATAGTAGACAATCATAATCGAAAGCATCCATCCATTATCTTTACCCGTTTATTCCATTTTGGGTCACGGGGGTCGCCGGTGCCCATGTCCAGCAATCACTGTGCGAGAGGCGGGGTACACCCTGGACGGGTCGCAAGTCCATCACAGGGCCACATAGAGACAAACGAGACAAACAACCATTCACTCTCTCACTCACACCTAGGGACAATTTAGAGGTACCGATCAGCCTAACATGCATGTTTTTGGTCTGTGGGAGGAAACTGGAGCACCCGGAGAAAACCCACGCATGCACGGAGAGAACATGCAAACTCCACCCAGAAAGGCCCCTGGACCGGGGTTTGAACCAAGGACCTGCTCGCTGAGAGGCAGCAGCTCTACCAGTTGCGCCACCGTGCTGCCCTAATCGAAAGCATATAAAATGAAAAAGTAAATGGAAGAAAATTATATTAAAAAACGAAACAGCTACATTATAAAGTGATGTACTTTGTAAAATACTAAAAACAAGAACATGTCTGATTAGTTTTCCCATGAACTTAACAGATGTTTGAAGACACTTAGAGAGGTCAAGGTCGAGAGCTTCAGATCTTTTTGTAAGATATTCCAGGAAACAGGAGCGGAGTAGGAGAAGGTCATTTTGCCTAGTTCAGTCCTCACTGAGGGAACACTGCAGGTAATAATGTCCTGAGAGCGCACGCTGTAGCTGCACTGACGACGTGACATGTAGGAGGAGATGTATGAAGGCAACAGACCAAGAAGTGATTTAAAGATGAAAATGTACCAGTGGGAGAGTCTGCGTGAAGTTAATGATGTCCAGTTAACCAGTGAATACAGGGTGCAGTGGTGGGTACGATAGTTACAGCCAGTTATGAATCTTAGTACACCATGATAGACAGCATCCAACATCTGCAGGGTGCTTGTAGGCGTGTTCATGTAAATGTCACCGTAATCAATGGAGGGAAAGAACGTCGCAGTTACAAGGCATTTCCTAGCATTCAGAGTTAGACAGGATCTATTTCTGAAAAAGAAACCAAATTTTAATTTCAGTTTCTTCACCAAGTTTTCAACATGAGACTTAAAAGAGAGATGCAAATCAACCAAGATACCCAAGTATTTGTAGGAATCAAGAAACTCAATAGGAACACCATTCGAAGATAAAATTGAGGGAAAGACTGCTGAAACTGACTTCCTATTTGAAAACAACATCCCTTTGGTTTTGTCAGCATTAAGACATTGAGACGGAACAAATCTGACTGGATGATGTCAAAAGCAGCTCGCAAAAGCTGGAAAACCTTAGCAACTGTTTTAGCTTGACAATAAACAACCGTGTCGTCGGCATAGAAATGTAAAGATGCATCAGGAATGAACTGACCTACATTACTTATGTAGATTGTGAAGAGGGTGGGTCCCAAAACTGAACCTTGTGGTACACCATTGTTAACAGTTAGATAACTGGAAGAAGTACCATTCTGTTGAACACATATAGGCTTGTGTAAACTTCGTGTATGCAGGTACTGACACACAGGTAACAAAACTTCATGTTTCCAGCTGCTTCAGCACTGCATGAATGATTCATCTTGTCTGCTGTTATTGATATACTGGGCTTAAATAAAACATTTTATCAGCTTATTGTTTTGCACTTTTAATCTATATTCATGTCCATGAAGGGATTTCAGGCTCTGTGTTGTTTATTCTCTCTCAGAGTTTGCATGCCATGGAGAGTCATGTGATGATCAAGTTCTTGCCAACCATCCTCAATCAGCTGTTCAGGGTCTTGACCAGCAACACACAAGAGGATGTCACAGTGAACGTCACCAGGCAAGTGTTCCTGAAACGTCACATCGCTTAGATGTATGGTTCATCTAATATTCCAGTCAGTGTTGTTTCTGTGTATATAAAAAAATAATTGAAATGGGCTTTTCATGTGATTTTTGATTGTTGATTTTGTTAATTAAGTTAACAAGTGAAAGGTCTGACAAACACGTCTGTCAGTACGGGGGTCTACAGGTCCTTCTCAAAAAATTAGCATATTGTGATAAAGGTCATTATTTTCCATAATGTAATGATAAAAATGAAACTTTCATATATTTCAGATTCATTGCACACCAACTGAAATATTTCAGGTCTTTAATTGTTTTAATACTGATGATTATGGCATACAGCTCATGAAAACCCAAAATGCCTGTCCCAAAAAATTAGCATATTTCATCCTACCAATGAAAGACAAGTGTTTTTAATACAAAAAATGCCAACCTTCAAATAATCATGTTCAGTTATGTACTCAATACTTGGTCGGGAATCCTTTTGAATGAATGACTGCTTCAATGCAGCGTGGCGTGGAGGCAATCAGCCTGTGGCACTGCTGAGGTGTTATGGAGGCCCAGGATGCTTCGATAGCAGCCTTAAGCTCATCCAGAGTGTTGGGTCTTGCGTCTCTCAACTTTCTCTTCACAATATCCCACAGGTTCTCTATGGGGTTCAGGTCAGGAGAGTTGGCAGGCCAGTTGAGCACAGTATTACCATGGTCAGTAAACCATTTACCAGTGGTTTTGGCACTGTGAGCAGGTGCCAGGTCATGCTGAAAAATGAAATCTTCATCTCCATAAAGCTTTTCAGCAGATGGAAGCATGAAGTGCTCCAAAATCTTCTGATAGCTAGCTGCATTGACCCTGCGCTTGATAAAACACAGTGGACCAACACCAGCAGATGACATGGCACCCCAGTGACTGTGGAAACTTGACACTGGACCTCAAGCAATGTGAATTCTGTGTCTCCTCTCTTCCTCCAGACTCTGGGACCTTGATTTCCAAAGCAAATGCAAAATTTACTGTAATCAGAGAACATAACTTTGGACCACTGAGCAGCGGTCCCAGGAGAGATGCTTCTGACGCAGTCTCTTGTTCAAGAGTGGCTTGACCTGGGGAATGCGGCACCTGTAGCCCATTTCCTGCACACGCCTGTGCACGGTGGCTCTGGATGTTTCTACTCCAGACTCAGTCCACTGCTTCCGCAGGTCCCCCAAGGTCTGGAATCGGCCCTTCTCCACAATCTTCCTCAGGGTCCGGTCACCTCTTCTCGTTGTGCAGCGTTTTCTGCCACACTTTTCTCTTCCCACAGACTTCCCACTGAGGTGCCTTGATACAGCACTCTGGGAACAGCCTATTCATTCAGCAATTTCTTTCTGTGTCTTACCCTCTTGCTTGAGGGTGTCAATGATGGCCTTCTGGACAGCAGTCAGGTCGGCAGTCTTACCCATGATTGCGGTTTTGAGTAATGAACAAGGCTGGGAGTTTTTAAAAGCCTCAGGAATCTTTTGCAGGTGTTTAGAGTTACGTCGTTAGTTCAGATGGTTAGGTTAATAGCTTGTTTAGAGAACCTTTTCATGATATGCTAATTTTTTGGGACAGGCATTTTGGGTTTTCATGAGCTGTATGCCATAATCATCAGTATTAAAACAATTAAAGACCTGAAATATTTCAGTTGGTGTGCAATGAATCTGAAATATATGAAAGTTTCATTTTTATCATTACGTTATGGAAAATAATTACCTTAATCACAATATGCTAATTTTTTAGAAGGACCTGTAATGGTGTTATGAGGGTGAAATTGGTAAAAAATATTTTTTTTTTTTTCATGCTTTCCTCTTACATTTTTCTCTGTTAGAGTCATGATTCACGTTGTCGCCCAGTGCCACGAGGAAGGCTTGGAGCACTACCTTCGCTCCTATGTGAAGGTAAAATTCACATGCCAAATGTCACATTTCATATTCCATTATAACTTTATTTAGTGTTTGTGCTGAAGAGCTGACACGTCTGTGTGTGAATGACTCAGTATGTGTTTAAGACTGAGCCGTACACGTCCTCAACCACCCGAACTGTGCACGAAGAGTTGGCAAAAGCCATGACTGCAATCCTGAAACCTTCCACTGACTTCCTGACATGCAACAAGCTGCTCAAGGTATTTTTAATTAATATGTAAACACAATTGACAAAAAGCTTTTTCTCTGTTTTCTGATGGATGTTTCTCTACCTGGTAGTACTCCTGGTATTTCTTTGAAGCCTTAATCAAGTCCATGGCTCAGTTCTTGATTGAAAGCTGTAAAGTAAGGGTGAGTTTGCCCTGAAGTCTCCTCTTTACTACAGCATACTCTGTCTTGTAGACAGACACTGCATCACAGTGGTAGTGTTAGTACTTTGGTGGAGTTATTTGTACCAATGTCCTGCAGCTGTCCAGAAATCAGCGCTTCTCTGCACCCTTCCATCACACCGTGGAGACTCTGGTCAACATGATGATGCCACACATCACTCAGAAGTACAAGGACAATCTGGATGCTGCTCGAAATGCCAACCACAGCCTGGCAGTCTTCATAAAGGTCAGGATCCATATTTCCTCTTGTTCCCATTGTATGTGGAAGTAATTACCAAACGGCTTCCCCCCTTCTTCCTGCAGCGCTGCTTTAACCTAATGGACCGAGGCTTTGTGTTCAAGCAGATCAACAACTACATCAACTGCTTTATGCCTGGAGATCCAAAGGTATGCCGACGACAAATTACACCCAGGCTCAGATGTAAAACTGTACTTTACAAAAACGTAGGGTTTTTTTTCTGTTTTTTTATTTGTTTCAGACACTGTTTGAGTTCAAGTTTGAGTTCCTGCGTGTTGTGTGCAACCACGAACACTATGTGCCCCTAAACCTGCCCATGCCTTTTGGAAAGGGGAGGATACTGAGATTTCAAGGTCAGGAAAAGAAATTCACGCAACAAACTGGCTCAGGCTTAAGTCACTTTTGTTACACAAAAGGACTGAAGTGAAAAGATTTGCATTTTGCTTCAAATAAGATTTTTTAATTATTTTAAAGTGGTCGTCATTAGGCCTGTCATGATAATAAATTTTGCAGGGTGATTAATTGTCTCAGAAATTATTGCTATAAATGATATTATTGTTTGAAATTTGACAATAATCATCAATTATTGTCAAATTGAAGAAGAAATGTTAAAAACAAATTGCATGTAGTACCTTTTTTTGACCACCGGATGGCAGTATAAGACTTGTTTGAACCAAAGGATGAATAGTGAGGGAGCAAGCAGCGTGTCTCTTTGAGAAAAATGAGAGGGAGGCCCCTTGACGTGACATGTGCTGTCTCTCTTCGGTTCTCAAAATGGCAGACGCTCGGTGTGGTTTGAGCTCTTTAGCATAGCATTTTTCACACAAAGCTTTTAATTAAAAAATCAGTAAACAAGTTCTCGGCTTCTTTTTGCAGAGAAAAACTTTTTACATAAAAGCACGGGTTTCAATCGTGATTTTTGGAGCTTTGACAAGACAGAGGTTTTTTTTCCCCCGAGGTCAGCCTGTTAGCTTAGCTCATAGCTTAGCTTCTCAGCTTAGTAGTAGAAAGAGAGACACAATGAAACGATAAAGCTGATAAATGAAAATGAGGTTGATAATTTTCATTTATCATGCAATTAACTGATTTATTGTTTATCGTGTAGATGAACAGATGCTGGGATGTATTCATCATTTAACGCGAGTTCCTCATTTTTCTGGACTGAATAAAA